TTTTACAGGTAGCTTTTTAATAGTAATACGAATCTATAATAACAAATTCAACGTGCTAGCATTGTTTATGTATATAGCCTATACATCCTTAACTTAGTCGACTATCGGTCGACGCCTAATCGATTAACTGATGGAACAACGATTGATCCCAGAGAGGATGATTTCGTAACCGATTGCCTCTAAACACGTTAAAAAGTGTGCACGCGGCGAATGAAAAAAGAATATAGAGTGTCAGACGAAAAGGAGTATCGAAGGTGAGGGAAGGAAGCAGGAGCACCGTGGCGAACGTATGCACTCATTACGCGCGACCACCTTAGCCAACTCGATAAGTGGACACCTTGTCAGGACTCGACCGGTATCCTATTTTTAAGGATGCTGTCAAGCCGGCCAGTTCGGTAACACCCTGTATACATCGGGGGGCCGGGGTTCGGTAGTTGATTAGATTTAAAAGAATGCCCCGTCACCTGCAACGTTGAAAGGAGACTAGGGCCCGGCAGCGCGGCAAGGCAAGGTCCGAGGGCCGATGGGTCCGACGGGACGCGCGAGCGAGAAGGCGAGAGGTGGGAATCGAGAGGAGGAATGCGTTGGGGAGAAAAGGTGAGAGGGGAAAGGGAACGACGAAAACGGGAGAGGTGGGAGACGCGATCGTGAGGAACGAGGGGCCCGTGAGGGAGCGCGAGGCCCCAGCGATCACTGACCGCTTTCGCCGATCCCAGCCGCCAGCTAGCCACCTTTCAGCGGCGCGCAGCCATCGGGGCATCCTCATCCTCCTTAAGGCTCATTCACATCGCTTCGCTAATCAAATCCGACAACCGGAGGATAAAAAACTGGCGTGGATCCTCGATTCCCGGAGAAATCATGGGAATCCATTCTTTCCGTGACTAGAATTGGTTCGGAATTGCGCAACGCTACGGGATTCCGAATCTAGAGCCTCTCGGCTTCGCGAATGAACTTTCGAACATCGCATAAAACTTTACCTCCAATTTTTTTAATAAAGATTCTGGATGGTTGGACGTATAGGGTTTCGAATCCCAATCACGAGTTTGACGTAAATAGCCGGGCGCGTCTGTACTCGGAAACGAGTTGCCCTTTCCGAGAAGACCGCAGGATATTCCTATGTAAATGAGATCAACGATCGTAAACGAAAGATAGAGAGAAGGGCGGAAGATTCGTCACATTTTCACCCATAAACGAAACGAAAAAAACGTGCCGATTAATTTGCAAAATACTGGATACGCAATGAGTAAAACATAGGCCATCGGCGGTCATCTCGCCGCAACGGCAAAAGATGATCACCCGTTGCGGCAAGAGATGACCGCCGTGAAAAGGTGAAATATTATACCGATTTAAGCCCGCGGCCTTGGCAAAGATCTCGGAATAAAGATCAATGAAGCCAGACGATAAAACATAGCGCGGCCGGACCGCGAGATTCACTTCCACTCTACGACTCATTTCCTCTGCAGCTATTAACGACAACAAGCACTACCCGTTACTTCGTTGTAACTCCACGCGTCTCCTCGTTCGGAAGGAACTCTATTTCTTTGCCAGCTAACACGACGAAATAAAAGGGCGAAGGATGAATTGGGGCCGATCGCTAACGGCACTCGGTTCTACCAACGATACTTTTATTGGGCCGATAAAAATAATGTATCCTCCTATTTGAATTTCGACGAGTAAATCAGGCAGCGCGATGGGACGACGACGTATTCGAGGGCTCGAGAGGCGCGGACCGCCTTCGAGACGGTGGGCCCCTATTTTGGTCCAGGTAAAGGTAACAAATCACTTTTCAACGACGGGAGATGGAAGCTACCGAGCACTGTTTTCTGAAAGGAGGCGGACTTCTCTTCTCATTCACCGTGGGGAACCACTCGACGTGTCCCTAACGCGCGATCGCTGACACAATGCGACCGATCGTTTTACACTCAATGGGACCGAGAATTTGCGAATCCGAAACAAACCATAAAGTTAATAATGACGCGGCGAAAGACACAACGAGGAACACATAAGTATTTCGCTCGCTATCCTTTCGCGAGAAGATCTACGCGCCTCTCGCAAACTTTTTTTTCTCGGTTTTCTCTCTCTGCGCCGATCATCGACGATTTTACAAGAACCTCGCGAGCGAGCGTGCGTAATTTACGCGAAGCATCGAGGGACGCTCGAGATCACGCTCGACCGGTCTCCGATTCTTCCGCGAGCGAGGAGTTTTCAGTTTCCGCGAAAATCCACGGATCCGCGCACAAAAGAACAATGTACATTGGTTCTTCGTCGTGTAACGCGTTGGATACGCGCTGGCAACCATTCGCGTAGATTATAAATCGACGGAAAACGAGGAGAGAGGAACAGGAAAAGAAGAGAGACGAAGAGGCGACTAGTTGCAAAATACCAGTCGGAGACTCGCGACAACTGGAATGCGAATGGGAACGGGATTCGCACAAAGGCATTGGGCAAACATTCTTTTTCGAGGCTTCATTCTTCGTGACAGAATCGTAGAAACGATGTGAGAACAGATGACGGTGAGGCAAGGTTTCACGGACGAATCGAACGGCGATACACCGGAGGAGAGAGGGGGCACCGAGAGAAACAGGAAGAGAGGCAGGGGAACGCGAGACGAGGGAACCACGAGGAGACTCGTGAAACGCGGGGAAAGAGGATCGACCGAGCGGAGTCCGGTACGGATGAAAGAAGAAGCGAACAGCGCGGTGGATAGAGGCTGCCTGCAGATGCCGAGGAGCCACCGTAAGGGCCCTGAGAGTGTACCTGTCTTGTTTTTATAGGCTCGCCGGAACGTCGGGCCCCGGCTACGCTCGACGACGACGGCGACGACGACGGCGGCCACGACGGCGACGACGGCGACGACGGCGAGAAGGAGAGAACGAGTAACAGTGGGGGAAGGAAGGAGCGCCGAGGGGGAACGAGAGGCGAGGAGAACGGGCAAAAGGTGGGCGGAGGGGCAAGGGTAGCGGTCCCAGTTCGGGCCTTACGGCTCGCCAACCAGTCTTCGGAGAACCGTGGGTCTTACCGGAGTATCGTGTACATACGCGTATTGACTGTCGGTCGTCCGCGAATTTTTATTTCCCGTTCCCGTTAAACAGTGTCGGCGATCTCGAGAGATCGGTGAAATCTCGCGCGCGCGCTCCACGTTTCTCGTTGCAGGGCTCAAGGATGAAGTCACCGGGATTGTAGATCGCGTTAACGTTCTCCGTCCCGACGTAAAAGCCGAAGAAAATAAAGAAAAACTGGCGAATAGTTGCGGAAACGAGCGAAGAGCGAAATACAAACGCCTCTGCTATGCGAGCCAGCAGCGACGAGAAGAGGGAATAGAAGCGTCATGGATGACGTGAGGTAGAGGTAAATGGATCGCGGCCGGTTTCGCGGCAGATAGGGTCGCCTCTCTTTCTCTCGGGGGATTTGATGGAAGATTGAGAGAAAAGATGCGGGGCAGTCCTGCGTTCTTGGCCATACTGTTGGGCACGATATTCGGTGTACTCGGCGCGTCTCTGAGCAAGGCGCTCCGATACAAAGCCCCGGACGAGTGCAAGTGGGTCGCGACCGGCGACGCCGAGGACGACGTCTCCCTAGTCTGTCATTTGAGGACCATCAACAGCGAGCTGGAGAACACCAACTTCAGCGTGATACAGCCGCAGCACACGGTTCGTTTGCGACTGGAATGCAGCGACGCGTTGTTCTATCAAAGTTCGTTAAGCGCCGGCAGCTTTAGACCGTTGGTGGAGCTGCGCGAGCTGGTGATCGAGTATTGCAAAATCGGTAACCTCTCGGACGACGCGTTCAAAGGGTTGAAGGAGCTGCGAAATCTAACGGTGAGAACGCACAACACCGATTGGTCGTCGATGGCCCTGGACGTGTCTGTAGGTGCGTTCACCGACGAGTTGAGGCAATTGGAGAAATTGGATCTCGGCGAAAACAACATGTGGAGCATACCGGACGGCGGTTTGTGTCCGCTCGTCAATTTGGAGATACTGAACTTAACGAGAAACCGATTGAGGGAAGTGACGAGCTTTCGTTTCAACGGTGCCGCGAAATGTCTGTCGAATTTAAAGGAATTGGACTTGAGCAACAACAGCATCGAGTCGTTGCCGAGCGCGGCGTTCTCCGGTCTGACCAGGCTGCACAGCCTCGATCTGCGGTGCAACGCGATCAGCTTCATGGCGGACCGCGCGTTCGAAGGGCTCTCCGCGTTGGCCATCTTGAGGCTCGCGGATAATCGACTCACCAGCTTGCCGCCTGAGCTGTTCAGCGACGCGAGGAATATCCAGGAGATACATTTGAGGAATAACACGTTGAACGTGCTCCCACCCGGGTTGTTCAGTGAATTGACGCAGTTGTTGGTGCTCGATTTGTCGCGCAACGAGTTGACCGCAGAGTGGGTGAACGCGGCTACGTTCAGTGGTTTGGTACGTTTAGTGGTGCTCGATTTATCCAGCAATCGTATCGGACGATTGGACTCGACAGTGTTCCGCGATCTGTACAGTTTGCAAATTCTCCGGCTGCAGGAGAATCTGCTCGAGAGCCTGCCGGAGAACACGTTCTCCGCGCTCTACAATCTTCACACCCTATTGCTGAGCGATAATCTGCTAACCGTTATCGACGCGACCACGCTCAGTGGACTGTACGTGCTGAATTTGCTCTCGTTGGACAACAACCGACTGCACACGATACACCCGAGCTCCCTGAGAAACGCCTCGTCCCTGCAAGAGTTTCACCTGAACCGTAACCAGCTCAAGTCGGTGCCGGACGCGTTGAAAGCCACTCCCCTTCTGCGAACCCTCGACCTCGGCGAGAATCTCATTTCGGAGATACCGACCGGCACGTTCGACCACGTGGCTCAACTGTACGGTCTTCGATTAACCGAAAATCATATCGGTAATCTCACCAAGGGCGTATTCGACCGTATCAAGGAGCTGAAGATATTGAATCTCGCGATGAATCGTATACAGTACATCGAACCCGGCACATTCGACGAGAACCTGAACCTCCAGGCGATCCGTCTCGACGGCAATCAACTGACGGACATCGCCGGCCTGTTCACCAATCTACCGAACCTGGTCTGGCTGAACGTCAGCGACAACAAGTTGCGATGGTTCGACTACGCGATGATACCGACCGGCCTTCAATGGCTCGACATCCACTCGAACGAGATACGAGAACTAGGCAATTACTTCGAGATTGAGAGTCAGCTGCAGTTGAGCACCTTCGACGCGAGCGAGAACAAGCTGACGGAGATCACCGGAAACGCGATACCGATGAGCATCGAACGGCTCTACCTGAACGACAACCAGATCTCCAAAGTGCAGAGCTATTCGTTCTTCAAGAAGCCGAACCTGACAACGGTCGAGCTAAAGGGGAACCAGATACGGAACCTGGAACCGTACGCGTTGCGGATCAGCGCCGTTCCGTCGGACAAACCTCTCCCGGAATTTTACATCGGCGATAATCAGTATCTCTGCGACTGCACCATGGAGTGGCTGCAGCGCGTCAACAGGCAGAATCAGACGAGGGTGCAGCCGCGGGTCATGGACCTCGAGAGCATCTACTGCAAACTTCTCTACGACCGGGAACACGCGTTTGTGCCTCTGGTCGAGGCGTCTCATTCGCAGTTCCTTTGCAAATACGACACGCATTGCTTCGCCCTCTGCCATTGCTGCGATTTCGACGCCTGCGACTGCGAGATGACCTGCCCCCTCAACTGCACCTGCTACCACGACCAATCGTGGTCGGCGAACGTGGTCGACTGTTCGAACGGCGGTCACGTCGAGAAGCTGCCCGAACAAATACCCATGGACGCGACCAGGCTTTACTTGGATGGGAACGATCTACGCGTGGTCTCTAGTCACGCGTTCATCGGTCGCAAAAAACTAAAGGTTCTCTTTCTCAATTCGTCCAACATCGAGATAGTGCAGAATCGTTCGTTCAACGGTCTCCGGGATCTGGAGGATCTCCATCTTCAGGACAACAGGATCCGCGAGCTACGGGGACACGAGTTCGAGGGACTGGACGCGTTAAAGCTCCTCTACTTGCACCGTAATCGAATCTCCTCGATCGGCAACGACACGTTCTCGTCTCTGCGCTCGTTGCGCATCCTCCGACTGGACAGCAATCGTTTGACGAGCTTGGCCGTGTGGACGTTACCCGGCTCGATCGAGATCAGTTTGTCCGGAAATCCGTGGTCCTGCGAGTGCGACTATCTTCGAAGTTACCGCGAGTGGATCCGTGAACCGAACGTTCGAGTGTCGGACGCGTCCGCGTTGCGTTGCGTCTATAATGTGACGGAGTTCGAGGCGTTCGGCGAGCAAGCGTTTACAGACGACGAGTTCGGTTTCTCGGTGGCAACTTCTCCGGCCAACAATCAATCAGAAAGGAGCAACGACAGCGCGTGCACCGGAGGCGCTGCAGGCCTCGACGACGATTCGCATCGGAATTACACAAAAACGATCATCGAGAAGCAGGTGCTACAGGACTATCTTCCCCTGTTGATCGCCACTCTACTCGGTTCTTTGGCGATGGTGTTGCTGTGCTTGTCGGCGTTCGTGTTTCGTCAAGAGCTTCGCGTGTGGTTCCACTCGCGATTCGGCGTACGGATATTCTACAGAAATCAGGAGGTGGACAGGGACGATCGTGATAAACTGTTCGACGCGTTCGTCAGTTACAGCTCGAAGGACGAGGCGTTTGTTGCCGAGGAACTGGCGCCTGTGCTCGAGATGGGGAATCCGTCGTACAAGCTGTGCCTGCATTATCGGGACTTTCCAGTTGGAAGCTTTATAGCCGACACCATAGTTCAGGCGGTCGAGTCGTCGAGGAGGACGATAATGGTTCTATCGGAGAACTTCATCAAGTCCGAGTGGTGCCGGTTCGACTTCAAATCGGCACACCATCAGGTGTTGCGCGACCGAAGGCGAAGACTGATCTTGGTGCTAGTGGGCGACGTACACCAACGGGACCTCGACCCGGACATCCGACTCTACCTGAAGACGAACACGTACTTGCAATGGGGCGACAAGCTGTTTTGGGAGAAGCTCCGGTTTGCGTTGCCAGACGTACCGAACAATCAGAGGACAACCACGCAGAGGACCAGGCAACCACCACCGGTCCGACGGCAACATAACAACAGGACGACGTCCAACGGATCGCGCACCGTCTCCGTGCACATATGAATTTTTCTTATTCGTGCGATCTTCTTACGTCTCGCGGTGTGTTCGTAGATGCGTTCACGTGTTCGACGTCGTCGCGTCGTCCGTCGCGGTTCTGTTCCAGTGCTGCGTGCTGTGAGAGCGAGGATTCGCGGTTTCGGCCATGGCGACGTGACGACACGGTGCAATAAGGTGGCATATGCGATATGCGCGTAGAGTGTAAATACGATATACATACTTCGACATATGTACAAATGTTAAAAGAAAAGTGTTGCTCGTATCGCGAGAGAGGAGAGAAGAGTAGAACCGGTGAATGTGTGTGAGTGCGTGCGTTGTAAATAAAGATGAAGAAACGATAGCGAAGGGGAGAAGGAGCGTGATCGTAATAGTTAAGGTGCTTGGCTTGTGATTTAAGGGGATATACGTACGAGCCTTCGCGTCCCGGTGTCTGTACATTGCAGCGAATCAGTGAGTTTGCTAGATAGCATAAAGTCGTTGTAAATAAACGTCCCGTTTTCTATGCGTTTACCATTTTCGAAGACTCGAAACCCCGATCAATCGAAGCTGCGGTTAATTCAGGGTTAACGATGCGCGAAGGATTCTCGCCCGGTGCAGGAAGAGAACGCTCGGTCGCTCGCCGTGTGCCATCCAGTCCCGTCTTACGATTAGCATAATAAGCGCCATATGCGAAAATCCTTCGCGCGTCGAACGCGCTCCAACGTCGCGGAACCGAACGGCGGACTCGACTCGACGATTCGCGAAAAGCGGCACTCTTATCGCGCGTACGTAAATACGCGCGGGCACGCGAGCACGGCTGTTAATTACCGACCGTGAACTGACATCGGGTGAGCAATTGCAGCTCCCCATTCGAGTAGAGCTACGCGACCGTGCAAATTCCGATCGATCCAGTTTTCGTCGTCGTTCCGCGTCGTCCGAGTTTCGAAACCGGCAAAGTGATATCACTTCCTCCTCTAATCGTACCGCTGATCCAATGTATATTTAATTATTGTACCTAAGTACTTAGACCGGCGAGCAGCTTGCGTGGATACGCTCGAGCGTAGCCAAAATCCCTCTTTTTTTTTTAATTTTCTTTCTACTGTAAAATATTAACGCGCGCAACCGCTTTATCTTATTTATTTCATCCCGGAAACGAATGGAGGCCTCGCGTGGCGCTAGCCGCTTTTCGATTTGAGATCGAATCGCGCGCCACGCGAAGTTTCTACTCGAATTGGACGGCCCGCTCGCGTTTATCTCGTCAAACCTGAACGCGAGCCGCGTTCAGCTTGAAAAGTTAAGTGGACGTTTTGGATTTATAACTCGCAAGAGAAATTGGTTGTGTCCTTCCAAGGCGCGACGGTCGGATTCAAAAAAGGAGGTACACGCGTTATGCGAAAAAGACAGAATAAAAGACCGCTATGGATAATCGACAATACATACGTTGTACAAAAGCGAAACAATCTTTCCTTTAGCTTTTCTCGCAAGCGAGACTATTCTACTGTTTTATTTTTACTCCCTCCGCAAACTACTCTCAACGAAGACAACGTGAAAGATATTGTTAGAATAAAAACCTATGACTGAACAATAAAATGCTCTATTTTTATGTTTTTAACTCCTTTCGCTTTGTTATTTTCTCTCTACACATTCCCCGTTCCTCGACTTTGCGATACGCAGAATTTATTTTTTCTGCTTTTCGCGGACGAACAATGGCGAAGACGCGAACTTTCGGTGGTCCGTCTTCGGACCGAAGAAGAGAACGAGACCGAGAGAACGAAAGAGAGAGAATTATTTCGCTAAGAAACAATACCTTATGCTAATCCGGTCACGTCTGTTTACATTGTCATCACGTTTCGTTACCGTTACATCCACGGAATAAGTAATGCCTGCGCTCCATTGTAACAGAAATCAGATTGGTTAAAAGGCCGTACGGTGAACGTAGCTCGTTCCAGCGTCTTTGATCGTTCTCGTTACAAAAGCGAACCGGAACTGAATAGAACCCAGAGAGTCACCTCGTTTCAATGCCGTAATCGATTCCTCGTTGTAATTGCCTCGTGCTTAGTCGATCGCGCGACAGGCAGTGTACATACTTAGCTACGTTTGCGATTCGACAACAGATCCCTAATATTGTTCTACCTGCGGGATTTTACGCGACGATTCTCGTTCGATCGGGAAATCCTCCAGACATTTGCATACTCCACTCCAAGTATTTACATAAAACAGGAACTTCCTAACAACCGATCGTGGTAATCGAATTAGACACCTTCCAAACAAGTTTCGACCCTTCGCCCCAAGTTTCCTTTCCAGCTCGTCACGGCTCATGTCAAGAGAGAGAAAAAAAATGTGTTCGTCGTCGCGAAATCGAAATTGTACATTCGATGGAGTTACCCACGACTCTAATTACATACCTTGGTATCTCCGATTTTACTACCGAGGGAAAGATCACGGAATCGAGATAGAGAGGATCGATGGATCGGTCGAAATGCCACGTACTCGAGACACGAGAAGATTTCACGCGCGTGGAATGTAATTCGCATTGATATTCGCAACCGCGTAGCTATCGGTGTCTATGATTGCGCGTAATCGGCGTGTAATCGAAACGCGAGAATCGATTCGATCGACGCGTAACAGACAAGGACCACCAGAGCGAACCACCCGCGATACGTATAGCTATTACGAATAATGTAAATATAAGTAGTAGATGTACGTGTACGTATTTGTATGTCACGAAATGGAATCGCGGAGTCCGTGAATGCCGATGGTTCCACGCGCTCTGCTTATTTTGCGGTTTCGCTTGGAATTCTCATTACGCGTTAATAACGACCGCGCCGAGGAAATAACGTTGGACTCGGTAAGTCACCAGACGACGTCGTCGTCGGTCGCTGGACATTTTTTAATATTTCACTTCCACCGAAGGACGGCAACTTTCCGAACGATCGACCATTACTGGCATGAACACACGCGTGCGACCCGGTTCTCAACGACATAATAAGATACGAATTCTAAATTCGAGGTATAAATTCGATCGACAGCCGGATAGGTAGCAACCACGCGATTCGATCGTATTTACTCTCAATCGCATTAACTATTTCTATCTTATCCAACCACGTATTATTAACTATTAACCGTTTACGTTTATGGGTTCGTGCGTCGCCGTCGCGTCGTCGTCCCAATTGAAAATAGCTGCTCTCGTTGATGGCCGGACTTGCCGTGCGTGCACCCGATCCCCGGTCGATCCTGTTCTGCCACTTTTGTAATTAACAAGCCCTTAACAACGTACGCGCAGCTATATCAAGAACGAAACGATGACTCCGCGGCTTCCACGTTTCAACCTTGGCGAGTCTATAATTTCGCGGGGCGTGGAAAAATTCGCGATATCGCGCAACCTGTTGCTACCACCGGTGCACGCGAAAAGAATCCGCAGAATTATACGAGCGAATTGGAACTTCGAATTGCATGCATATCGCATTAGCACGTAGCGGTATAACGGAGAATCAAGTGCCAAGGTTTATAGGAACGAGAACAACCGGCCTGTACCGTAAACACTCACGCAAGGAGTAACATGATTAAGAACGTGCAGCAAATGGAAACGGGAAGAATACGATGGACGCCTTCTCAAATTTCTAGAGATGCACGATGCAAAAGCTAGCGAGAAGAGAAGAAACGAAAAGAGGAAACGGTCGAAGGGTTATGCGTAGCAAGGTATTGCTTTGAAAGATAAACCATAACGGCGAGTTAGTTAAAAGATCTTAACACGGAAAACAATGAATTAGGAGCGATAAAATACTATAGGATAAGGTAAAGGTAGCCGCTTATTCTTCTGATAGTTGTTCCGAGCTCTTCGTTTAGCTTTAGTAACTCGCTAACTCGCTCGCCGGCTCGCTAGCAGCGAGTTAAGCAAGCGGGAGAATGCGGCTCGCCAACCTTCCATCCCTTCCCCCGATTCGCCGCGCTCCGAGTTAGAATGGTCCCGATGCTTTATGCGGTATAACGGAATTTCTGTTTGCACTATCTGCCGGCAACGGCACACGCGAGGGACTCCTGCTCGTTCTTCGTTCGTGGCCGAGGCCATGTTAGGAAGAGAAGGCCGATCGTGATTCGTAGCTCAGATTAAGACCAATGAGCGGAAGGCATCGTTAGTCGAAATCGGGCCCCCGTGCATCGATGCATCCCGGAGATAGTCGTTACCCCTTTTTGCCGTGGCCAACGGAGGATTCGTGCGATCTTTCGCGAAACCGAGTTTCCCCATTAGAGTCGCCTCGCAACTCGGAACGCGCGACCATCCGTTCCCGTTCTCGTTCCGTTCCTCGAAACCGTCGACGATCAACGGGCAACAATCTTTAAAAGATGACCGCCGGATTCGAGTTTAGTCGTATCTTCGATTACAAGCGACGCGCGCGAACTTCATACCCGCAGGCAGAACCGCGTATACGCGACAGTTACCGCGTAGTTTAGTTATCGCGATCGAGAATTCAGCGTCCGGGCTCGCATTGTCTCGCGGAACGAATGCATATTTCACGCGTGTGCGCTATCCGCCGCTTGGCGCGGCGTGTACGCGCGATTATGCGACCGAGTACAGTCCCTCGACCCTACATCGTCGCGATCCTCCCGCACGCTCGTCCCTACGGGTAACGTCGTAATAACTCGCGGAAATTATTTTCAACCTCTGTAAGGGAACTCGCGAACAGTCAGCCGGGCAGAAACGCTGTGCCGACGTTAATCCGGCTACGTCGCAACGATCGCATCCAAGCGGTATTTAATTACGGCCTTTACAACCGGCCGCCCTGGCCGACTCGCGGGGCTCTAGCTTCGACTCCGAACGAAAGTTGAGAAACGGCCGCGGCCGGAGGAGCAACAAAAACGAGATGTAGTAGCAGGATATTTCTGGGGCGGAAACGAGAAGAAAAATGGTGCATTTGAACACCATATCCGTGAGCCACGGGAAACTTGGGTACAGTTCGCGGAGAACAATTCACAGCACAGATTCCTCTAAAAAAAAACCCGTCACGAGAAGTTCCCAGGTTTTCTCTTCCATGGTTACTCGAAAGGATGGATCATCGTAACGAGCCGAGATTTCCATTCGATTTCGAATCCAACTATCTTAACGAAACAAGCGATACTTTACGTCCCTCGCCGGGCCTGTTTAGAGCGCCGAGCCTCGTAAAAAACTATAAAACAACTCGCCCTTTTCGGTCCACGCGGGAGTGGTCTCGAATTTATGATCGGTAATATATCTGTCTCAAACTTCCATAAATAGCTGCGCGAGAGAACGAAGCAAAACTCGAAAGCCGAGAAACGAAAACGAAAACGAAAACGAAAACGAAGACGGAACCGCTGAATCACGGCGTTAGTTACTTTCGTATGTAAACTACGCATAGAATATGGATAGAGACGCGCGACACCGTTCCGCCGATGACGGAGGGAGGAATATGCATATGTAGATATAAACAGGAAACATCTGCTGGCGCAGAAAACGCGATGCAGCTGCGAGCAGGTAGTAATCGCGTGCACGGTGGCCGACCAAAAATTTATGGAAATGTTTTCGTGTCGACCTAACGCTACGATTATTATTAAAGACAACGATACGGTAGTTTCCTATCAAGTTCGCGATCGTTTTCCCGCGACTCGATGACCGTGGCCGCTTCATAAAAGTTCCGGCGCACATCTTTCATGGCCCGAAGAATTTTTCAATTAGCAATTAAGCGTTCGAATATCGGCCGCCGCATTCCCAGTGCTCCGCCGAACACCGAAAACGAACCTCCGAGACTCGAACGACAGCATTTCCGAATCGATGCTTTATCTATCGACTTATCGTTCCACCGATCTTTCCTACCCTTGTTACTCCTGCGAACCTCGGTAGCATCCTTAGGCAGGTATTCGAAAAAAAAGAATAATTCCCTGTGTTCTTCGTTCCCGGCATTCAGAGGATACTTTCTAACTTTTCTTTAGCCTAATTCACTCGCGGATTATCGACAGGGAAATCGATCCGTCTTGGCGAGTTCCATTCACGAAAGAAGTTAACGATGCTACGCGACGGGAGATATCGCGAAAGAAGCGAAAACGCGAGATCGGCGAGAGATCCCGCGGTCCCATGGTGGTGGTTCTTCTCAGAGCGAAAGAAAACGGCACGGCTTGGGGGAGAAAGATCGAGGAGAGAGTTAGGAGGAACGCGATGCGAAACGGACTCGCTGGAGAGGAGAAAGAGCGGGCACGGTTACATGAAGGAAAAGAAGAGGCCGAGTATATCCGGTATTTGAGGCAAAGGTGTTGCGTGCAACTTAACAAGCTAACGACGCCGTGCGAGTGCGATTTTCTTTCCTATCAACCTCAATCTACTTCTCGCCCTCTCGCTCGCACCTTCGTCCACTTTCCACCCTCGCACCGTCTCTCCGCACCCACCCCTCTATTTTATTTCTCTCTTTCCTCCATTCTTCGCCTCCCTTCGCGGCCGCGGCCACGACCGCCCTTCGTACCCATTCTCTCTCTCTCCCTCTATCTTTCTGTCTCAGTCTTTGCACGATACTCGCCTCTTCCTCTCCATACTCTCTCCCCTCCCGTCCTTATCGTTGTTAGCCTGTTAGCCGATGAACCG